AACAAAGTGCAGCCCAGCCCGGAGTGACGTAGCGGGAGGAAACTCATCCCACTGGAATTCCGACTCCTCCTCCTCCTCCGTATCCAGGGAAGTCTGGAGGAGCCTCTCCGTGTCTCCTGATGCACCTCGTCGCAACCAACAGGCTGGAACGAACTGGGGACGAGCTGCCCATCGGAGCGATAAGCTACGAAAAACCTAATGATCTAGATAAGACAAACGGTATTAGTTTCGTGTGTAGTCCTTCTTGTGTTTTGACTATTTCTGGCTATTTTAAAAATGAGTTTTATAAAGCCGTGAATATAAGCAATAAATATAAGGGTGATCTTTTATTCCGATTGGATTAGTCACGCAGAAACTGTATTACACAGGTGTTCCCGAGTGTTACAGATGTACCTGAAGTATTATATGTGTACATTTAGTGTTACAGGTGTACCCGCAGTATTACAGAAGTGCAGGTGAACACTCAGTGTTACAGGTGTACCTGCAGTATTACATGTGTACATTTAGTGTTACAGGTGTACCTACAGCAATACAGGTGTACCTATAGCATTACAGGTGTACCTATAGCATTACAGGTGTACACCTAATGTTACAAGTGTACCTATGTTATAAGTGTATCTGCAGTATAACAGAAGTACAGATGTACACTTAGTGTTACACATGTACCTACAGTAGTACAGTTGTACTTTCAGTGTTACCAGTGTACCTATAGTACTACAGGTGTACACTCAGTGTTACAGGTGTCCCTACAGTATTACTGGAGTACACCCAGTGTTACAGGTGTACCTGCAGTAGGACAGGTGTACCTACAGTATTACAAATGTACACTCGGTGTTACAGGTGTACCCATAGTATTACATATAGTATAGTATTACATATAGTACTACAAGTGTACACTTAGTGTTACAGGTGTACCTGCAGTATTACAGGTGTACACTCAGTGTTACAGGTTATACCTACAGTACTACAGGTGTACTTACAGTATTACTGGAGTACACTCAGTATTAAAGATGTACCTGCAGTATTACAGGTGTACACTCAGGATTAAAGGAGTAAGATTAGCATTAGAGGTGTACACTCAGTGTTACAGGTTTACCTACAGTAGTACAGGTGTACTTACAGTATTACTGGAGTACACTCAGTATTGCAGATGTACCTGCAATATTACAGGTGTACACT